AAATGTGATATGCTTCTTTTTCTTATCTCTTTTTTTCTTTTCCTCATAGTTGCTAAATTAGAATGTTTATATTTTATAACCATCAATTATGCCAAATTTTAAGAAGAAGTGAGAATAAATTATAGTTGATTCCAATTTAAAATAAAGTACTTGAAAAGATCTTTCTAGATTTTATATATAAGCTTTGACCAATTTACTTATTTAAAGTTTGCACAAATTTTATGTCCAAGGAAAATAATGTGTTTTTATTCTCTTTCCAGTAAGGTGTCTTTAGCAAGTACAATGTGGTTGATAATTTCTGCATGCAAATGATAAACTTTCAGTTCTATCAAGTGTTTTAATCGATTTTAATCGATTCTTCCTCGTTAAAAACTTTTTTTTATATTAAGTTTATCTAATTTTTCTTTCAATCCTCTCTAAATCTCCACTTCATAAATCCCTATTTTTATTTTTATTTTTAAATAATGTTTTAGGCATTTTTGGATCACCAATTCAGACCAATTTGGATCATCAATTTAATAATGGTTTGACATGATTATCTATCTTTGTTTTGAAACAATAGTTTTTTCAATTTATTGAAGAGAAAAGATTATATGGAGCCGAGGCTCCTTTCAAATGAGAGCCTAGCTCAAGTATTTCACTAGAAGAGGTTGTTTTGATTCCCAAATATCTTCAAATTGATCATCTTGACATCAAGATGCATGGACATGATAAAAGTATTTCGCTAGAAGAGGTTGTTTTGATTCCCAAATATCTTCAAATTGATCATCTTAACATCAAGATGCATAGACATGGAAAAACAATGGATTTCAAGTTGTGAAAATAGTGTATTTTGTAATGCATTTTTCGACCGTTAATTTTCAAGATTTTCAAGTTTTCATAGATTTATTGATTTGAACAAAATATATTTTAAGGCTGTTGCAAAGATTTTCTGTATTAAAACCACATTTCTCGATACTTTTAAAGGTAGGTTTTAATTTGATTGTTTAGAGCCTAGGCTCTATGCAAACCGCACCTTTTATGGAATGTGCTTTTGTTGTGGTTTAAAAACACATTAAATTGGAGAGTAAAATAAATATTCTATAAAAATTATTGGCATTTAATGCTATTAGAGAGTAGAATAAATATTCTATAAGAATTTATTGGTATTTAATGCTGTTTATGTAGGGGATATCACATTTTCCTTTAATAATGCTATTCTTTCTAGAGTGATTTTCTATTTGGCTTTTGAATAATTACTTAAAATACCCTAGACAAAATTAATAGAATAAGGGTATTAAAAATAAAAAAATATTGAGTACATTAAAAACTCAAGCACCCTAATATAACCCCTTGACTTGAAATATAATGAAAAAGTAACTTTTCCTACCATGAGTGGAAAATATAATAAAAATTTGGATGAGGGTAAAGAAGTCAAAATAATTTTTCTACCAAAAAAAAATCCGCATGAGAAAGTGCTCAATCGCAACCGTTCGATTCTTCGAGATTTGTAATCAACGGTAAGTTATACGGTCTTTACTCTTTAGAATCCTAGTCCCAGTCAACTTGTAACTTTGTAAGTGGCCATAGGGAAAGTTATTTCTTCCGCTGCGATTTTGT